AAGGAATACCCATATATTATATACATATATATATAGGTAGGTCTGATACACCATGATAAGAACTGGGACCCTGTGAACTTGGTAGGGAAGGTAACTGAGAGGTGAGTTAGGGGATATTGCACTGAAACATCAAGAGAGTGCCTTTGAGCTCCCTGCACCTGTAGAGTGGCCACTGCCCCTTGTGGGAAGATGCCCCTTATTTGAAAACCACGTGACAGCCTCACATGGGCAGAGGACTTTTAAGACCATGCTGACACTCTTTGGTATCTGCTCCCCTGCTCTTTCTGACCGCCAGACCAGTAGTTAAAACCAAACTGCAGATGTGCAAGAGTGGGCTTGCCAGAGGAGGCCAGGGAGCCCCCACCAGCAGAGCAGGACAAGGCAATATTGCCTTCAGGGATCAGGAACATGTGCCTGGGGGTGGACCCTGACTGTGCTATATTTGGAGACAGAGGGATAGTGACTATGGTTAAGGGAGAGTTTGTCAAGATGGGGAAGGTTGAGTTGTCTCCCCCCAGATGATTTGTTCCTAATCTTGGACACCTTGAATGTGATCTTATTTGGAAATAGAATCTTTGTGGAGTAATTAAGTTTAAATGCGGTTATACATGGGACCTAATTGAATCGCTGGTGTCCCCACAGTAGAGAGGAATGTGAACAATGGACACAGAGACTCAGAGGAGGAGGCAATCTGAAGACGGAGGCAGAGATCAGCGTGATGTGTCTACGAGCCAAGAGGCATGTTGTGAAAGTTAAGGAGCAACCACGAGCTGCAGTCCTTGAGATGCAATGTCAAGGTCAAGGTTCATTAAGGTTCTGAGATGACCAAGGATATCCCTGGAGAAGGAAGCACAAACCAGCATGCCAGCAATCCAGTTAAGAGAACAGAGTTTGACCCTCTAACTCCCCTCCTCATCTTCGCTTTGTGCTAGGGCCCAGGACAGGGTACCTCTGGCAGAGGCCCCAGGGCTTTCCTGCATGGCCAGGCAGGTAGTGGAAGGCAAAGCTGCTACCTGAAGTCAGAGGCAACAAGTCAGGCTAACCAGACTGATCTAGCTACAACTACTGTCAACAAAGGAACCAACGCTGAGCCCGGGAAAACAGCCCAATCTCTGAGGAGACAATTAAAGCCACTTAATTGCTTATGCCAAACCCCTTCTATCCTAGAAAGGGAAGTGATTCATCCTGCCTGGGGTTGACACTATTCCACATAAGAGGCCTCGCAAGCCTCACCAAGAAGCCTGCGGTCTGCCAGAGGTGAGCAAGCCTCTTAACGATGTGGCTGAGGCATTCACTTAGAGGCAAGTCCCTGTGAGGATATGGGGCTATCCTTTAGGGGGCCGTATATTCCAGAAATAAGCAATTGCTATATAGTGCTGTCTCCCCTGTAAGAGGAATACCTGACAGGATAAGTTCTTTCTCAGAAGGTGAACTTCACAAAAAAAAAACTTGAAGAAGTGAAGGAATGAGTAATCAGGCTTTTTGGGAGAACAGCTGTCAGGGTGCAAACACTGACAGAAGAGTGGGTCCCAGGAGTTCCAGGTGGCTGACATGGGGCAAGGCAGGAAAATCATGTTGGAAGCAAGTGAGAGAGATTTCTCAAGGCCCTATAGGTTGGTTTTTAACTTCAAGTGGTGGGAAACCATGAGAGGTTATGAACAGGAGAGAGATGTATTAGCATCAGCCTGTCTTTAAGGGCAAGAGCCAAGTTGCCTGAAGCTGTACAAGCAGAATATAAATAATGGTGCACTGACTGGGCTCAAGATCACCTGATCTCAGTGCCCACTCTCATCTACCAGTGGAGCAGTCAGTGTACATCTGGGGACATGTTCCCAACATGACCACTGATTGCTTAGGATGGACCCTACAGTGCATTTGGCTCTTTAAAGGAAAGGTACAGACACTTCAAAGGAGATCAGAATTCCCCTCAACCTCTTTTGGGAAAAGTCTTCTGTACAGTCATGCATCCCTGAGAGCAGGGAATCATTCTGGGAAGTGGTACATTAGGCTGTCTCATTGTTGCGTGAATGTCACGAATGTACCTGCGCACACCTTGCTATATACACCTATGGGGTCACCATCACATACAACATCTGTCATTGACAAAACATCATGAAGTGATGCAAAACTGTATTATAACTACTTAGGGGAAAAGTCCGCACCAGTTAAGCTCAAGGTTGCTGGCTACACTGCAGGCCACGTAATTTTCTAGACCCAAACGAGTGGTGACATTTCAAGACAGCACATGGGAAGGGCAAAGGACACAATGTAAGGGTAGCAGAGAGTCATGGTTAGGAATGATGAGCACAGAGGTGTTGTCTGAAATCCAGTTCTCTCACACATCAACTACATGACCTTAGACAACTTACTTAACCTCACTGTGCTTCCGTTCCTTCGAATTTGATATGGCAATATCAAAATTGTGATAATGATCCCCACTTGATCAGATCATATTGTTAATATATTGGGTCATCAAAAGTCATGATGCATTTTTTTCTGTTTTCTAAGCAAAAATGTGTCACGACTTTTCTGACAACCAATAAATAAATGCGCTTATGGTGCCTAGAAAACACTGAGTGTTTGCCATTATTTTATCCACATAAACCATGGGAGCACAACCGTGTTGCCATTGAAGTTGAATAAATTTTCATAGCAATTTCTAGACATCCTTTTCCAAATGTAACACCTTCTATGTGATCTGTTCCAATATGAGACTGTAAATGAGTATGTCTTTCTTCTTACGCTCCTAAAATATTAGTGTACCTTCGCTTAATTGTTCAATTGCTTTTTAATCAATGGCTGTTCTTCAGGAAGGCCATTAATGTCTAACTAATCAACCTTTTGTGCAAATTTCAAATGCTTCCCTGGGCCTCTGCCACATCCTTGACCACGGGGAATGCTGTGTTTAAAAAGCATCTCAAGAATTCCATTTACATAATGATCACAACTTCAAATACAACTTCAGATATTATTAGACATTTATGATTTACATTGCTTGCCAAGTTAGGATGTTAGGGTTTCTAATTTCAAATGTTCCTGCCTGTTAAAAAAAACAGAAAAAAAAAATTCTTTGTTTTTGGCTTTTTTTTTTTTTTTTGTACATGGGATTCTGTCAACAGGTTTTATGTGACAACTAGCAAGAGAAGGAATACCCATATATGCCAGTCTGTGTGTAAGGCACTTCATACTGAATTATCTTAGAGAATTGAAATTAATACCAAGTGAGTAGCATAGGTGTTGCTTGAATTCCCAAGCTCTGCTCAAAGAACACTGTTACTGAGGGTCAATCTAGTCATTCCAAGCCTTTTCTCCCTTCCTCTACCAGTCATTTCTCTTCAGGGATCATAGTATGAAGAGATTCAAGTTTGGCTTTTTTTTCTAAAGCCATTCTACCATTATGAAAATGACAACATCCTCCACCTCCAAGCACTACATTAATGGATTTTCTGTTGTTCTGTGAAGTAACCCTGAGGAAGCTGTCCAAGTCCTAGACACATAGCTCAGTTTCAGATTGAGGTCACATGACTTGGAGATCACTTATTGTATTATCCCCCTAGGTAACCCAATCCTGTAAGCTAAAGGAACTTCAAGTTTGGAAACAAAAACTCCTAAGTACATTTTTGTCAAGTTTTGTTAAACTAAAGCTGTTTGATAATGATAATGCTGATGTTGGTCCAAAGTCATGGCTTTTATTCCTGACTTTGTTGGATTTCTTTGTCATCACTTGAACATGTCAATGAAGACATCGTGTCTTCCCTCTTGGTTTTTCATCAAACGTGAACACCCAATAAAATGTTTCCTGGAGAGGGTGCTCAGCAGGAGGTGGAACACATCAAAGAAAATGCTGTTCTAGTCTCCTCTGTCTGGCTGATGTATTCTGCTGTCACTGAGCTAGTTTTTCATCCATTCATAAGAAATCAGTGTGGGTATCATTGAAACCTTTTTTAAAAATGATCAAATCAATAGCATGCCCCCAGTTTTCTTATCATGAAAAATCATATAAAATGACACACAGAGAACTTAGCCCTGGCAGCAGCTTCTGTTTCATGAAACATGGAATTTATCTCAGGTTGCATGGAAATAGTCCCTTAGCTGTTCAAGTTTTTACATCTATGAGCTAATATAGACAGAGAAGTTTTAAAACTATGTCAGGTGGCATTTTCACATACTAGGATTAGAAATAATCTTTAAAAAGCTTATTGAGATATTTTTCAATTTGTTTATGTCACAGATAAAGGAGTCATTTTACTAGTATGTAAAACTGCTTTTAAATTCATCTATAAAACCCTAGAAGGCATTTCTTCTATCTATAAAAATTCACAAATTACAATGTCATATCAGTTCATTAATTCATGGCAAACTCTCCTTCCCAGTATAGTGTATTATAATGTGAGATTACACTAACATAATAATGTATATTTCTTATTTTCTTTTATATATATATATTTTTTAAACATACTTGTTTATTTTTCCACAATATGGAATTTCTCCCTTTCAGGTGCAGTCACCATAGATTTCCCACCACCTAAGAGCTCACAGTCTAATACAGTATATAAATATATAAAATATATATATATGTATATATATATATACGTTTTTGGACAAAAACATTCAAATCAATGATAGCATTTAACATTTTTCATTGTAACAGTGAGAGATTTTCTCTTTTAAAAAAGACTAATTTTTTAAAAAGTTACCTTTTTCAAATTATTGTTCAATTATCCTTTTTGCAAAACTACAGTCAAGAACCACTTTAAAATAGTTTATATAACAAGCCAAACAATTTGCAAGGATCTCATTTTCATTTATAGTGACAAATGATGCAAAAAATTCTTTAAAAGTGTTTTAGCTCAAAGCATGACCACACTTGTCTCTACCATTGTCTTGACAAGAAATATGATCTCTCTATGTCTTTTTAATTTAATGCCAAGCAATATGCAGCAACACCATCGCCAGAGTGCTAATCCTGCTGAGTAAGCAAAATGCTTGTCTTGGCATTTTTCTAATTTGACCCGATATTTTTAATGTATCATTTTTTTCTTTCAGCATAGTCTGTTGGAGCTGGAACAGCTCTGGACACCAGCTAATCTGACCCACCCCCTCCTTGTTAAAAGGAAGTTTGTAAGAACATGAAGCAAAATGTAACATTGCCAATATGAAGTTACTCCAAAATAAACCTAAAGTTTGCATTCAAACTTTACCTTTGTAAAATCCCCAGTGACTCTCCCACGACATTCTTCAATCCTTCTTTTCCAGGTTTCAGAATCTTCTCTTTGAAGGTATCAAATGCTTTAAAAGGCATTTTGAATGGGGAACACCTCCAAGCTGTTAACCATCCGTCTCAGCAACTGTCATCTTTTCTCATTTCCAGCGTGGGGACACTGCTTTCCTTGATGAACACCTTGAAGTCAGTTCTCATAGAGGTACCCACTTAAAATTAAAGAGATGAAATTCAGCCCAGATCTTCCAGATGAGACCACCCCCTGTCCCCCGATCTCAAAATAAAAGAGGTTGAGGGGTGCCTGGCTGGGAATCCAGCCCCTTGAAGCTATAAGCTCAGCAGCAGCCTGTGGCGCTGTGTCAGGCAGCCAGCTCAGGCTGCAGCAGCCTCCTCCCTCCCTCCCTGTGCTGCAGCTGGAGAAGCTCCAGTGGGCTCCAGCCCACGAGGAGTCCCCAGACCCACGCCAGCGCCTGTGGCCTAGCTCCAGCCCCACGGCCCCTTCTGTCCTCACTCCGCAGCCTCCCCCCTCTCTGGGCTGGGCTGTGTGTCTCCCTGTGTGATCCTTCCCAGGTGATGCTATAGTAACCGGCACAATCCCTACCCTCGCCCAGTCGCCACTGGGCTGATTCATGGGCTCTCAGCCAGAGCAGGCCCCCGGGGTGGACAGTATGAAACATTCACGAGCCCTTTTCTGGGGTCTGGCCATGAAGACAGGCTCTCGGCCATCACTGGCGGGGGGACCGCGAATCAGGCGCCAGCTTGGATGTGGCCCCTGGAGGATCACCCGCCTGTGAGGAGACTAAATGTAAACCCAAGTCTGGCACATCGAGGAGGGCGCTCTGAGGAGCTCCTGCTCCTCAGAGCAGGGTGTCTCCAGGCGTGATGCTCAGTGCGGACGCGAAGATGTCAGAGCTTGTCCTAGAACCTGCTGAGAATTCTCCCAGGTCCACTTGGTCCTCAGGATAGTCCTACTTCTTGTGGCAAACGAGGTCCTCCACCAGCCCCAGTCTGTTTCTCCTTGCTCTGCTCTTCCTCTCAGCCAGTGGCTGTGGCCTCTGAGGCTTCACACAGGCTGTACTGGGTGACTGTCCTCACCCCTCAGCTGGGGACCTCAAAAGGATTCAAACTAGGCATCACATCTCCACAAACCATCATAGACAGGGTGTGGTGTCTTCTCTCCACAGCTCTAACTCACCTGCCTCTGTCCCAGTCGCACCTGGACTGACGTGGGCATGACCTAAATGTTGGAATGCCACATGCAGCCCTCACGTTTAGAGGCAGTAAGGTGATGCTTCCATCAACACTGCTGCTGTGAAGATGCCCTGACAGGGAGGCTCTGGTGTCCCCCTCCCCCAACCTGCCAGGCCCACACCCTGTGCTCTGACCCTGAGGTGTCATTCTTTAGGATCCATCAGTGCCCTCTGCAACACACAGTCCAAATCCTTTTCCAAGATTTGAATTAAGTTGATATAAATCAAAGCTGGATCCTTGTTAGGTTCAATACTACTTCCCAAAAGAGCCATTACTATTATTACAGCAAATAGTTATTGTCAAGGACCCAAACTCTGTTGAGCCATTTTTCCAACTTTGCTTGGTGATTTATAACATCATTTTCTTCAAACTTACTGGGAGGAAGCTGAGGAAGAGAGGTGAGACTTGCCAGGTTTCAAACATCTGGCTCCAGCCCAATCCTATTCTACTCTCCCCGTTCAGTTCTATTCTCTCTCACATATTCTCTCCCTCCTTTGTTCTTCTTCCTTCCCCCACCTCTTCTCATGTCACCTCTGACTTTATTTAGGTATATTTTGTATGTCATGGAGCTCACCCGTTTCAAGCAGACAATCAACAGTTTTAGTAAATTTACCAAGTTATGAAACCATCAGCACACCACATGAAGCAGGTAGAACATTTCTATCACCTCAAAAAGATCCTTCATATTCACTGTTAATCCCCATTTCCCATGGCTCACATTGCCCAGGCAATCATCACTCCACAGTGTCTTTAGAGCTTTGTCATATGAATGACATTTGTCATTTGTCATAATAGTGGGTCTCTTAATTTTTTATGAATTCTGCTTTTGTAGATATATCTAAAATCTAATCATTGTCTAACCTGAAGTCTTATATTTTCTTCAAAATTTTTTATTGGTTCAGCTCTTACATTTACATCAATGATTGACTTTAAGCTCGTTTTCATGTGTTGTATGAGGTGAACTTCTGAGTTCAGCTTTTTCCACATAGGTTTCTATTTGTCTCAGGACCATTTGTGAGAAAGGTTTTCCTTTTTCTAATGAATTACTTTGGCACCTTCATCAAAAATTATGAGCATAAATACATTTATTTATGGACTATCAATTCCACCTATTGTATTCTATGTCTACCCTTATGCCAATAACACACTGTCTTGACTACAGCTTTTATAGTAAATGTTGACATTGGGAAGCCAAAGTCCTTCAACTTTGTTATTTCTTTAAAATTTGTTTTGGTTGTAGGACTGCAGAATTGAGCCTGAAGGGAGAAGGAAGAGTGGGAACAAAGGGGAGAAGGCCCAATGGCTCTGGCTAAAGAGCTGTAGGAGCTTTGGAGGGTGGGCGTGTTGTGGTTACGTACATCTGAGGGATAAGTCTATTCCCCTAAATAATATACAGGGATGTAAAAAAATAGTTACTGGGCCCTCCCTGGTGGCACAGTGGATTAAAGCAGAGCAAAAAGAAGCTAAAGCCACTTCTGCATGAGTTCGATTCCGGCCTGCCCCGGAGGTGACCACATGGTTTGGCAGACCTCTCCTGACCCGCCCGCTGCTCCCCTCAGCAATGTACTTCGACCATCTGCCTGATCTGCTCCCCACTCTGTCTCTGGTGAATCCTCTCACCGCCCCTGCACCTCTGGCCTGTACCCCACTTCTGTATGCACAAATAATAAATCTTAAAAAAAAAAAAAAGGTTACCTCAATAAAGAAAAAAAAAAGACCATTTTTCTGGCTATTCAAAGTGTTTTTGCAGTACATATAAATTCTAGGAACAACTTATCAGTTTCCATAAAATATCTTGCCAGCCCTGTACTCTTAAAAGGATAGTTTCTGGCCACCAACTTTGCTACCTACAACCATCAAAGCTGAGAATATTACGATGGCCATCAGTCCACCAAGTCTTTCCCTGTATCCAGAGTCCCTTCACTCCTCTGCTACAGAAAGCATCTTCTGGTGGAGCTTCTAACACCTTCCTCAGCCCCCAGATTCCTCTGGTCATTCATCTCTTGGAGTACAGAGTGGGAGCACTGCCCTTTGTGGTTGAGAATAAAGACTACATGAATCTCCTAGGGCTTGGCAAATGCGGAGAGAAGGCCATGTTCCTGCAGACAAGACAAGGTTTTCAGGGGTAATTTAGGTGGTTGATAACATTTAAATATATAATATATATGGCAACAACATTTGTGGAGTGCTTTTTCAGTGCCCAATTTTTTTTAATATAATAGTTTATTTTTACATCATTTTGTGCCTTTTTCCATCTCACTTTTAATTCCCGTGGGCTTCCCATAACTAAATCAACCATCTGTGTGTCTCAGTGCCCAATTTTAAGCATTTAACTCATCTAATCCCCAAAGTGATCCTATAAGGTAGGAATTATCATCATAGATGAAGCACAGAGAGGTTCAGTAAACCTGCTTGAATTCACTCTGCTAGACAACTATGCAGAGATAGGGACCAGCAAGTCTGTCCATTGATAGCAAAGAAGGACTTTCAGCTCACTTCACTCATCTATTCACTCATTCCTTTTCTTGAGGACCTGCTGTGAGGCAGGCTCATTAATGAATTGGTGATATAGGTTGAACCGTGATATTCCCTTCGCAGAAACAAACCCATCAGAAAATGAAGGAGTCTCTCACAAAATAATGAGTGCTACGTATGGCATTATGGGAGCGCCAAGGATACTTAGCTTGTTGATGGGAGCAGGAGAGGACTGCCTAGGTGAGGGGAGAGTGTTATACGCTTTCAGGGAGAAGAAAGAGTGAAACAAACAAACAAAAAATAAGTGGTAGCAAAGAGTGTGAGCCCGCTGGGCACCAGAGCACCAGAGAACTGGGTGAGTGCCGGGGTTACAGAACAGAGTGGCATGGTCTTGAGCATTATGTAATCCAGTTGTTACAATAGAGGATTAAAGCATATGCTTCCCATCTCAAAATAGCAAAGACAGAGGAAATTATGTGTACAGCAAAACCCCTGGAGGACCATGAAACAAAAGCTTGGTCTACAGTGGGAGTATGGAGAATGAATGTACTAGAAAAAGAATCCAGCTGTTGACATGCATTTGATAACTTCCTGTCATTCTAGACTAAAAAAAAGTCACTTCCCTTTGAGAAAAAAACACCAGCTAAGACAGCTTTAGGATTGCTGACCTAGGTTACAGCAATTCCTTATTCTCAGGGAAATTTCTGTTTCCATTGACCCCATCTCTTTTTGTAGTGAGTGACAGGCTTCCCTATGTTCTGTATGTACTATGATGTTTCCCATGCCTTCGCCATCACCTCTGGATGCCTCCAGAGGTGTGGCACCTGCATCAAGTTGAGCCCGTCAGATGCCAGACGCTCCTGGTCATTTAACCTTGGAGTTGAAAGTCTATCAAGACCTCCCGAACAGTACCTGGGGGCAATGCTGGCCTAGCACACAGAGAGAGAGGCATGAAACAGAACAAAATTAAAGCAGGGGAGGGTGTCTGGGTTGCTAACAGCCTTCCAGTTCCTGTCTGTCTGAAGACTAAGCCACCCCTCTACCCTTGAGTTTCATGAAATACCCATGCTCTTATAACAAATTGGCCTCTTTTAGTTTAGTCTAGAGAAGACCGTGTATGCTTCTTACAGATGAGGAATCTTGGGTTGCTGCCAAGATTTAAAACCCGAATCAAGTCATTCCAAGTCTGCCTTTACCCAACATTATGAGGAAAGCTTAGCTGTCCAGTTCGTAACTGGTAGGACTTCAGTCTCAAAAGCCAGCTGTGAGCCAAGTTATCTCCTATACCCTCTAGACAGAGGGGGGAAAAAGGCAAGCAAACATTCCTAAAGAAGCTGCAGATATATTTATTCAAGAAAATAATTTTATCAGATCCAATCAAAGAATTAGGTGAAGTTTAATCAAGCTCAGAGCAAATAACAAAATGACTCACTTTTTTTTTTTAATAAGAAGCTTCATAAGCAAACAAAAGTAATGAAAAGAATTAATCATCTTGTGGTTCCTTCTTGGATTCTGTGGCGACTTTTCCAGTCAAGCCTATTGTTTACCCCCAAATTTCATATGCCTCCTCCCTAACTCCCCTCCCATAATATTCTGAGACTTACATAAATTTGTTTAACCCAGGGCTTTTCTCTCAGCCCTTCA